TTGGAAAGATACGGAATCCGGACCTGCGGGAAAAGCTGGTTTACTACGGTTTTTACGATACAAAACGAGGGTCGGTAGTTCATGGGGGGCGTGGTTACCATATATATATATATAGTTTTATTTATTTACTGATTGATTATCCTCCTAATTTTTACTATGTAGAAATGACTGAGTTCGACAGATGATCGGATTTGGGATGGGCCTCGGTGACTGGTGTCGAGGGCAGCGACCTTCTCCGTCTTTTGAGCATTTCTCTCCGCAATCCTGGGATAACGTTTTGATGCTGGGCATAATTCTCGAAATATCGGGACGGTTTCTTTCAATAGTCGCAGGCACATAAATCTATGTGGTGGACAAGCATCATTAGCTACAACCGCTCGATCTTGGCTGCTAGCTGGGCACGTTTTCCCATCTTTGCCAAAGTATCACCCGAGGCGCTAGGCACGATTAAACAATCATCTTCATCATCATTGGTGCCGAACTCGTGAGTCTTCTTGGGCTTCGGGAACGTTTTGGCAGCTGTCTGGCTGGGCGGCTTAGGCTCGCTTTTCTCAGGCTTCTCATTCTCAGTCTCAGCATGGGCACTTGCACCCACCAACTCGGGATAGCCAGCCTGGGAAGGATTCAATCAAACCTCAAATGCCCCAAAGCCTCGAAACCGCACTTGACCCACGGAGTCCTGCCTTGTCGCCGAAACTTGCGACCAGCCGTCGGTAGTCTGCATCCTTAGACACAAGAAAGGCCAGCTGCGAGATGGATGGAGCCCATGCCTACAGAACAGAAATGCAGCTCCCTGTATCTAGCCGAGGCTCTCGAGCAATTCTCTCACTCTGGAATTGCTTCTTCACCATTGACAAAAGGCTTTTAAGGTTCTTGGCATCACTGATGCAAAGTGCTTGCACGTGATCGGGCAATTTGAAGTCGCACGGCATTTTCGGAAATCTGCCTCTTGACGCCTTTTTCTGTGAAGCCTCGTACAACTTCACCCATATGCCCTCTAACTCCGAAGCGAGGTCTTCGAGGCTCGGAATTTTCAAGGATTTAGCTGCTTTCATCTGGATGATGATGGGAATGAGGAACATGTCATTCATAACAGCTGTCTCTTGAGACACCGCCACAGTCCTATCTCCCGAAGCCGGAACAACCAAGGCAGTGGGTGCCTCCATCGACAATCGTTCCCGAATCTCCTCATTGCAAAACCAAGCGGAGCCCAAGCCAGTCAGAACGACTGGTTCCACATCCAGCGCCATGGCGCTGGTTTGATCTCAAAAACTGAAGTAGAAAACGCACAACCGATCGAAAGTGAGGACGCCTGCAACACTGACGAGTAATCACGCTGAAAGCAGAAGCCTGGCATCATGAGCAAGGCAGGGGGGGTGGGCGCACCTCCTCCGGGCAACCATGGCCGGAGGCACAGGAAAGCCATCATGAGCTGCTTTTACTGCTCTTACATGTCACAAGGTCTTGGTTTGCACGGTCAGTAGTGACCCTCCTCCAAAATCCGACGGAGTCTTCATCTACAAGCATAACCCAAAAATACCCTAGTGACCCTACTCGATCTACACCCAGTAAAAAAGCTCTCCCCTACACCCCAAACAACCCTATAGCTTTACATATTAATAAGCTTAAGAAGCCCTGCCGTGAGCCGTGAGCCACGGCGAGTCGCGAGCGAAAGGCTCCGGCCTGGTCAAGGGTTTTATTCCTCGGGTTCGGAAAAATTCGGTTTAGGGTCATATGTACATACAGGCATATGTATGTGTGTATATATATATATGTGCATACACAAACTTACCTGCATAGAAAGGACCATCTAGGAACATGCATAAGTGTGCGTATACATACATACATACATACATACATATAAATATAAATATA